AAAAAAAAAAAAAAAAAAAAAAAAAAAACACATCATAGTAAAACCAATACCTTCTCAGCTTCGCATCGAAGCTAAAAGTAGGGTTATCATTTGACAATTGAAAGTTGATACTGATTTAAATCATAAGGAATGATCATAAAAGTGTCATTTTATTCACCTAGCAGCACAAAATAAAAAATAATATTTCATAAAGAAAAAAAAATAACACATATATTTAGAGATAATTTCCAAGGTCTAGTTAATCAATCACCACGTATATATACAATACGTTATTTATCTAGCTACACAGAGTAATTGATTAATTATTGACCGCTAAGTTTCTCCTAAAGTAATAATAATCTTTTTTTTTTTTTTGGCTTTGTTGGGTACTATTTATCTCTTGATTAAATACTTTTTAGGTTGGTTTTTTATCCCATATATGGGTACAAACTTTATTTTTTTAGATGGCAACATATATTTTTAACTTATTTATATAATTGAAAATGGTCTAATTAAAAAAATGACTTTTAGATAATAATTATAGGACCACCAGTACTTCGAAAATTATTAGTATTTAAATACTTAGCCAAATGGAAATGCACGCCAGAGAAACGTTTAATGACAAAAATAGCCATAACCGAACACAAAAATATAAGAGCAATAAATAAATTGAAAACTACACAACAAATTGACGACAAATTCCTTGATTATTTAATTAATGCGATAAACAGATATTTGAGAAAATAAATTCTGAAGAGAATCTCGGCAAGTAGTAGGAGCGAGAAACTCAAATAATCAGATGAACAATATTAAATTATCATAAATGTATAGTACAGTAAATATACTGCATGAGAGAACGTGACCCGGCGGCCAAACGAAGAGATTGAAAAATCCTATCTCACTCAATAGTCTGTCAATTGTGTTTTTTCGTGTCCCGCGGGTTAAAAATAAGTTAATAAGTAAATTGGCAACGTTGCAATCATAAGTTGTATACTAAAAAGGGACAGAGTGTTGAAATCATTCTTAAGGCTTATGGATTATAGACGTTGTCAGTTTGCTTATTAACTTATATTTTATTTGAATTTGTCGTCACTTTGAAATTATTTGTTTCGTCTGATGAAAACGGTTGTTTGAATTTGTCGCTCAAATATACTAAATATTTTGCTATTAATAGACCGCCTGGTTGAGTTACTTTTCTATTACTATTTATTGCCCATTAGTATATTAAATAAATTGCATTTATAAAAATGTATGCTGTTTATTATGTCGGCTTTACTATTTTTGGCACAAATTATTCAAGCATCATTCTTACTACATTAAAGTTATTCTTTTTTTAGCAGAAATGTTTTTTATTTACATTTTATTTGAGACTAATATATGTTGTAATTTATATCAATTTAATTGGTTATGTTCTGTAATAACTTTTAATTTAATATTTAAAAATATAAATAATTGTAAACAAAATTGTGAACATAATAAATGTATGAAACTGTTACATAAAAATTGCATGAAATATTAAAAACTATATTTTAAATATTGTTTAATTAGCTGTAAAGAGTGACAGATTTATCATTGACTACTAAATTTCTCTTAAAATAATAATATTTTTAGAAATATTTTTTTTTGGTTTTATTAAATACTAAGATATTTTAATAAGTGGTTTTATATTTTTTAAGTCAGTCGTTTATCCTTTATAAGTATACCATCATTATTTTTTTAAACGACAGCATATAATTTGAAATTATTTATATAATAGAAAATGGTCTAATTAAAAAAAATGACTTTTAGATAATAATTATAGGACCACCAGTAATGACAAAAATAGCCATAACCGAACACAAAAATATAAGAGCAATAAATAAAATGGAAACTACACAACAAATTGGTAACAAATTCCTTAATTATTTTATTAATTCAATGGACAGACATTTGAGAATATTAATACTGAAGTGAATCGCGACAAGTTATAAGAGCGATAAATTCAAATATTCTGAATAATCTGATAAATAAAATCAAAGTGTCATATATGTTTAGTACAATAAATGTATTGCACGAGAGAGCGTGCTTGGCGGCGAAATGTTCTAGACCATCTTTACCAATAGTCACTCAATTGTGTTCTCCTGTGTCCTGCGGGTTAGAAATAGTTCATAGCAGCGTTACTTTCATAAGTCTGTATAATTGAAAGGGACAGAGCATTGTGTGATATTCATAAGCGTTAAGAATGATTTTAACAATCTGTCCCTTTTAATTATACAGACCTATGAAAGCAACTTTACCAGTTGCTTATAAACTTATATTTTATTTGAACTAGTCACCGCTTTGAAAATATTTGTTTCGTCTGATGAAAACGGTTGTTTGAATTTGTCGCTCAAATATACTAAAATGTTTGCTATTTATAGACCGTCTGGTTAAGTTATTCTTCTATTATTTATTTATTGCCCATTAGTATACTAAATAAATAGCATTTATATATTGTGTATTATGATGAAATGTTCTTTATAATTAATGGA